AAGCGTCGGCTCCATCGCAGCGGGTCGGGGCGGCGCGCCGGGGGAAGAGCTCTGCCGTGCCCGACTCGGGGCCGTGAGTCTCCTTCCCTTCCCTGCCTGGCAGGGTCGGGGTGGGAGTTCAGAGCCCCCAGAGAGCGGGCAGTTTGCCCGCTGACGCCTCTGCAGACTGCCGGGTCAGCTTTCTGCGAACGCCGGGAGCTCGCGTGTTGACGGAATTGAACCCGAGTATCCGTCAGTAACTTGGCATGAAAAACGCTAACCACGCTCTGCTCCTTCCCTTGCCTGCTGCTTGCCTTCCCGTCTCTGCGTACTCGCTTTTTGCCTATTCCTCTGCGTAACAAACTTGTTAAGAAAAATATTAGCAATGCGGTCTTGCTGAACTCGCAGCTAGAAGCAGCCAGCCCCTCTCAGACGGGTGCTTTTTAAAGAAGCTCATGTAAGAATTTTTCAAGATAGCCTAAATGATTCGCTGTGCCCATAGGACACATGCTGCAACGCTCCACTCTTAAATTGCCTTTTTTTACTTTGTTGGCTACTGCAGCCTTCACTTCCAGTAAAAATAAAGCTGACAGCTCTCTTTGGTAAGAGCCCGTTGTGACGCCGATCGTGCCAAGAGAAAGAAGTGGTGTCTGTTCAGGTCAGTCAGGAGGAATGGCTTGTTGCAGGGTAGAAGAACTTAAATTTTCAGAAACCTGCTTGAGAAACTATGATTCATCAGTTTTAAGAAAGCTCGTCCTTTATTGTGGGTAAGAGTCCTGTATTTTGGGGAATTTGGGGATATGCGTGTATTCGGATCTCTCCTACGCACAAATTCATCTGCTGTCTCACGAAATGGTGCTGCTCTGTGCTGCAGACTTCTGAGGCTGTTAGTGCCGATCTCTAGATCAAAAATATCCTTCAACACATTACTGAAACGTCTCAGGATTCAGATCAAAACTGGATGTCTGAAAACCCAGCACTAAGAGGTCTTCTACCACCATCCTTCAAGGGTAAGGTGCTGCTTCCAGAACTGCATCCGTTTCTTTGCAGTGCTAGAAGGAAACTTCTGGTGGTTTATGTTACCAAGCCAGTGCGCTGGAGAAAAATACAGAGCCCACGCCTTGTATGGGCATCGTAATTAGAAGCTACTAATGAACTAAAATGCATAATTACTGTAGAGCTGACTGTCTCTCGTAATGGAAATCTGAGGGTGGCCTACCAAGTGAGATCCTTGTTGGAAGGATGGGAGTTGCTCTTTGTTTTCTGTGTGGTGAAGCTATGGGGTTCTTTCCGCATGAGCTCATTGGAGTGTCAACCCTGAGAGCAGGACTTGCCACCTGAGGCTTCCCTAGGGACACCCGAGTGCCTGGAGCATCCCCGTGTTCTTTCACATCGCCACGTGCGTTTCTTTTGCTTTGCTTTTGTGCTTTTCCAAATGTAACGTTTGACTCTGTGGACCACTCCGTAGGGAACAGCAGCCCTACGTGCAGAGGGAGGCAGCTGGAAGGCAGGTGGTCAGCCTTTCCCACCTGGACTGCAAGGCCTGACGACCCTCCAGAGTGCCCGGCTGTCTCACTGGTCCTGTTTTTCCCTTCATCAGCATGGAGAGAGAAGTGTTGATGACTGAGGTGGTGGATCTAGGAGTGGGACAGTGTCCTCTTCTGTGCCAGAATTCCATCCTGCGTAAAGAGACGCTAAAAGCTGGTCTAGCAGCTATAGCTCTTTGATCCGCTCCTGCTGCCTCTTGGCACGTACAGTCCACTTTGCTCACTCCCTAAAAGTGCAGGTGGCCCTGCATGTCTGCGGTGTCTGATGCTCTTGAACTGATTGATAGGGAAGGTGGCTGGTTCCTGGGGAAGTCACCCTGGGAAAGGTGAGCTTCAGGACAAAAGCTTGGAGTCTCTTGATCCTCCTTGGAAGGTTGGCTGGAGGGCTGCGCATATCTAGAAGGGAGTCCTTCCCGCACACCTTGTCAAAAAGGCTTCTGTGCCTGTCCGGTCCGTGTAATTAAGCAGAACTGAGAACCACCATGTCAGCATAGAACTTCATGTTGTTCAAAAAGGCTTTGGAGTACAGGCTCTGGGTGTGGTGAGGAAGGCAAAGGTGTAGAGAAACTGTCAGGAAAAAACAAACCAACAAAACAGCAAAAAAAAACAAGGCCTGATGAGGCGGGGAATTACCGAGTTGCAAAATAAGAGGTCTGAAAGCTGTTTCGTGACTTGGGGAATAGAGGGATTCATCAGCATCACGAACAGGGAAAGCACAGAACAGGCAGTGCCCCAGGCAAAATGTATTTTCTAATGGTGCTAAACTAGTATTAATGATGAGCAAAGCCTGAGTAAGCTACTCAGACCTTGAGTCCAGGCTGAGAAGGCAGCTTCAGCCCTACTCACCTGCTTACACCTTCAAATAACCGCTTTCTATTCTTGCATTGAACTAATTGCAAAATAATACCAGTTTTGAAGGGGCTGGAGCTGCTTTTGGAGGCGTATGCTTGCTCACGTGCAGCGGCACACACTTGTGCTACTCCGTTTGTAGCTGTCTTCATGTCTTAAAAATCTTAAATGTCTTAAAATTTTGGTGCAAAAGGGAACGTATGTTGAGTGCCCATGTTCCCTGCCCTCTTCAGAAGAGGGTGGAGAATTAAGCCTAAGAGCTCTATGAGATCTAGATACGTCCTGTTTCTTCCTTACAACACTACACACAAGAATGAAACAAGGCATTGAAATATTTAAGGAAACAACACATGGAATTTTTTTTCCCAGAGATGGAATTTCTCTGGAATTCTCACTGTGATGCTTCCCCATTCACTTCCCTTCAGCTCTGTGCATTGAAGAGGAGGAGCTCAGAGAGACAAAAAGCTTTGCCTTTGCCCCCCTGTGCTGCAGCCTGGACCCTGCGGGACTGGGTCCTTTGTAGTTCCCAGTGTGGCTTTTCTCCGCCTGCCGCGGCCTCCCAGTCCTGCTGTCTAGCCGGTTATCTGTGCGGGTTTTAGCACTGTTTATTGTTAGCTCCACCAAATCTCCTGTATAATGTGAGTTTCCTCTGTTGCTGTATAAGAAGAAAAGCCATAGAAGTAAGAGGTTTGTAGAAACCTGCTCCGTGATTGGGAATCCGTGTCCTTGGTGGCGAGGCCAATGGTGGTACAGCTGGAACAGTTTTCAGCTTTCTTGAGCACATACAACTTCTGCAGTAGCAAAATTCTGGACATTCTCAAAAAAAATAGTGTATTTTCCCGTCTCCTTTTAAGCATGTTTGTTCTGTTTGTGGTGCTGGCCTTGGTGTATGTCTCGCTTGACGCCGTTGCTGCTTTCAGTTCTGTCATGCCACTCTCAGGCCTTGACCAGTCTCACCCCACCTCCCAAAGAAATCCTCCTGGACCTGCAGCCCAGAGATCTTCAGAGGCGCAGGGGAGGGGAACAAGTGGCGAGAGCAAAACAAAACCGGACCGTCGAGCAACATCAGCCTTGTAATGCCCTTTCTCACAGCGGTTGCTTCTCTGTGATGTTGCATCATTTCTAAAAATAGAACTTCAGGTCCTTTGGGAAATGGCACTTGTCTTTTGTTCTGTAAAGCACCCCGAGTGTTTGGAGTCTCGCTTAGAAAAGCCGTGCGTGAAGTAGAAGGATAGAGTGGGTTTTAGGATGCTTTATTTCCTTGTTCTCACCTATAGTCCTGTTTCTTGGTGGTGATAATGGACTTCAGAAGGTCCAAATGCCGTTGCCCACTGCTTTTCAGAGAAAAAAGAAAAGGTGAAGGGAGACTGTAGGAGACTGGGACACCGTCAGACTGCGTGAGGGGGGTTTGTACAGAAGCAGGTTGTGTTCTCTAGCCACGGGTGCTTCTTGCCTCCCAGTAGCTTAAATAAATAGAAAAATAATAACATGAGTAATTAAATGCATGGAAAGCAGGCAGGATAGACTGACTGGAACAGTCTTTTGATGATAAATCAAGGAAAATGACACAGGTAGGAGTGGAAACTGCAGCTGAAAGGAGCGTGAGTTTGAGTCGCAGTTACAATTTAAAGCAGCATCTCCGTTGCCTTCCTGGGTCGGACAGAGCTCTTCCAGTGCCTCTGATTTTTCCAGAACTGACTCATAAAGACTCTTGAGAAGGAGTAAAATACTAAAACTAAAAGGTTCTATGAAATTTTAGATGCGATTTAGTCTTCCAGAGTACTGAAGCAGAGGGAAAGTTTTATAATATATGGAGGCCTGGTCTACAAGGAGACGGTGAAAGACTTTAATGGCCGTGTTTTGTGGGAGCTGAGCTGGCTGCGCGGGCCATCTTCGCTGCCTCGGGGAGGGCTGTGGCTGTGTTATTTTCTCAGCTGTGGACTAGGGTAAAGGTTTGGCTTCATCTTCCCGTGTTCTTCAACTTCTAGGCAACTGCAATTAAAGTCTCCGTGAGTCCGCACTCAGAAGGGAGGTACTGGGGTGTGAAGTGACGTGACAGAAGGCAGAGGAGGGGGCTCAGAATCCGCAGCGAGAAGCAGTCTGTATTTGCTCGTAAGTGAAGTTTCAGGTGATATTTCGCTCCTGGAGTAGTTTATTCTGGACAAACCCCATCTTGTAACGTCTCCGAAGGGGTGCCGGAGGTGCGTTATGTGCAGGCCTGGATTTTGTCACGCCGGCAGCTGAGGGTGCGCGTGGCCGTATGGCCGCCTTGGCATCGTGAGCCGGAGCGCCGTCACCACACAGCGCGGCCCGGTGCCGACTAACGCCCGCCTCAGGTCTGCACAAGGGGCGTTCTCGTGGGGTGTCTTTTCCACCTACGACTGTAGAGAAAGCGGACGAATGATGGCGGCGGGTGGGATGCCGATGAAAAAAAGCTCAGAAACCGTTTTGTGGGAACCTGTTTGGTGAAATCCCTGGAGTGACTGAGACAATGTCCTCCTCCCCTCCACTGGAGTGAACTTCAAGGAATCGCATCACTAGTAGCATCTCCTCTTATTTATGTAATTTTTGAGGTGCTGCATCGTGTTCTTAGCCTGTTGAAGAACAGAGGTAAACCTCGACTGCAGTTTTACTGATGTTCAAGCTGCGTTTCTCAGGTGCTGCAGAGAGGCACAGCGGCTCTGGGTTCTAGAAACCGCAGGGCAAACCCACGCCTCGCCTGCCGTGGGGGGACGG